TGTTTGTGCGATTTAAATGATTGCCATTCTCCCTTCGCATAAACAGGTAGGCACAAACTACATAAGTTAAGTTATCCACATCCTTGTTGTTTGTAAACTGTTGTGTGCAGTTCCCCTATTCTGCTGCTGCTGATCTGTATGGTAAATGACAATATTTGTGCATATAAGTTCTGGCAAATCATTGAACAGCCTGCTAGGAAGGTGAAAGACACACTGCGGAATATGAAATATATTATAATTCTTTGTAAGTGCATAATTTAAATGCTTGTGTATTTAGAAATAAACCATAAAGCAAATATGCGTTAAATTCGACCCACCTCATCGGTGACAACATATGTAACCAAACTCTCCATTTTCTTGCCTGTATCAAGAATGCATTTTAAATGACAACTTTAACTCACTTTAAACGTATTACACTATAACATAGAAATGTGAAAAGAACGTTATTCACCCAATTTTTTTGAAATCGGTTAAGCAGATCCCAAGATATGGGTTTTCACCATCATTCATGGGTTTTTACTCAAGCTACAGCTTTCACGGACGGACGGACAGACAGTCACCCGGATTTCAACTCGTCTCTTCATCCTGACCATTTATATATTATATGTATAACCCTATATCTAACTCGATTAGTTTTAGGTGATATAAACAACCGTTAGGTGAACAAAACTATTATACTCTGTAGCAACAGGTTGCGAGAGTATAAAAATATATACATTCATACGGTGTTTGTAACGTTGAAGTACTCAGTAACCTTATTCTGATGAATCCTTTTATCCGAATACGATTTTTCATTGTCCGATCGTAGTTCCAGAAGTTGTGAAATGTGTTTATTAGAGAATATCGTTTTGTACTCATTCCATTTAGTAAGCATGTTCACAACGTTGGATTGCTTCATTGCAAGGTACAAATTCTGAAGATTCAGAAACATGAAAATCCATATAATATATATGGATATAATATATAATAATAATAATAAATAATCTATTAGCCAAAACGCCTTCACCTAATTTTGTTAAAGTCTTAGAATTCGAGGACTGATAATCTTTCTTGCTCACGCGCAGTTGACAGTGATACGATCAAACCAAAACAAGCACGACTGTTTTCTTAAACAAGCAACTTATGCCTGCAAAGATAGATTGTAACACTCCATATATATTCGCATGAAATTTCTAACCGTTACTTTTTTTAATCCTTTTTTTTGGTTTTTGTATACCCATGTGTACAGTACTATTATACATAAATATGTAAGCAAACACAATAGACATCTGAGAAGCTAAATATCAGAAATAGAAAAAGTCTTGAAAAAATTAAGAAACACTCGACTTTTTAAAGTCCCGCTAGGCGACTGAAAACTGCTTAACATTTATACGTCTTCACTTTTCTGAGCTTCTACTATATAAGGATTTTCAAACATCCACTTGATTTGAACCTTTAATGATATGTCGTAATACAAAATTGGATGAAATCGGGTCAATATATCCGTTACTTCCATATAAATTATATATGCATTCCAAACTTTCGATTGGTTTTATACCGTATGTCGTTCAATATGTAAGATATCTTAGCAAAATGAAGTTGTCGAGTATATTTGAGTAATACCAAAAGTTAATACAATGGTGTTGTTGTAGCGGCAAAATTGTGCCGAGTTGACAGTCCTTGGACGGATAAAAATCCGGGTCCGTTCCGATTACGTAGACCCGACTGTCGTGAGAACGGAGTTAATATAATCAATTCAAATGGTCCCCTAGCCCCAATACACGCGATATAGAGATTTCCAATAATTTTGACTTTTCATCTGAGTTTTAAGTGTTGGTCTAAAACTTATATCCCTAATATAATGATCATCGAACCTCTGGTTGATGTACGTACACACCAAAAAAAAACTTGTATAGGGAGATGGTTTGACTATACCCTTTATCATGGTTTGCAGTATTTTATTAATAGAATGCAATACATTTTATGTAAGTTCAGAAGGTACATATATTTGCCCATATTTCCTGAAGAACAGCATTAACCTAATTTTTGCTATTAACTTTGCGCTTTCGTAACTTTCGTCTCCATATGGGCCCACAGGTGTTCATTGGGATTGAGGTCGAGAATCTGCGGAGGATGTGGCAGCATTTTTTCACGTTGTACAACTATTCTTTAACTACTTAAGCGGAATTGTTCCGGTCGTTATCCTGAATAAAGCAGCAGCCACTATTAAAATTCAGTTTAGCTACTGACGAAGCCAAATTATTTTTTAATATTGCCTAGTAGCCCATTCTTTACAAAATTCCTTCGATGAAAACAAGGTTATCGACGCGATTTACTCCCAATGCACCCCTTTTCATTTCGTTGCACCACACCACACAATGTAGCCTCCTCCATTCTGACAGTTGTATTTGATTTTTTTTATCTTTTAGCGCTTAGCCCTCCTTAGGCATAATAAATTGACGACCATCAGACCCAAATCAATTAAATTTGGACTCATCTGTAAAAATTGTAAATTCCCCCAACTACTTGGCGTTAGCGACAAAGGATATTTTAGGATGTTTCTTGACACCCCGAGCAACTTTACTTTCAGCCTGCGCGTGCAAATTGTTTTGGGCGTACCACTACCATCAAGTCTTCCAACTCCACCAGTCTTTTGAATTTAGCAATAATGTACTGAACAAGAGTACGCTTTTTTTAATATTGCCTTTTCCGCGAATAATTTTGTTCTCTTGCCAATATTTGACTACACAGCATTTTTTCTTCAAAAACTACACCGCCTACAAAGAATTTATTTTGACCATACTCAATTACCATACAATTCCCAAAACAGCCGGTTCTACTCTACCGGAATTGACCCAGATTTTACCGGGCCAAGGGCTTTTATTTCGGCGATCTAACCCTGTTTGGATCGATAGGTGTTAGTTTAAGTTCGTCGTCATTGCGTTGCTCTACCAAACAGCAGGGTTGTTCCGTATCCTCTTGACCAGTGCTGGCATTGAGTCCAACCCGGGCCCCGAGGAATTCTTCTGCTGCATATGCGCTAAAAGGCTCCATCCAAACTTCAACTCGGTTAGGTACAACACATGCAATGGATGGAGCCATCTTAATACCTGCTCAGGCCTTAAGAACCAAGAGTGGACCACGAGTTACGTGACTCTATGCTGCTAACGCACTGCTGTGACACCTGCCTCAACGGCTGTGCAAACTGCATCATGTTCGGGCACTACGCCGCCACTCCAGTCGAGTGGCCAAGAAAGGACCTTAACGGCCCTAAGGAGCTTGAGGCAGCAAGACTCCCAGTCTGGCCAAATATGCGGATAATACAGCTGTAACAACCACCACCTACGCGTACCTCCCTCACCCCCAGGATCACAACCGGACAACAGCGACAAACGCAAATTCTACAATTTAACTGCAACGGAATCCAGACTAAGATCAAGGAGATAGTTGTATATATGAGCCGGGAACGCGTATCGATAGCTGCGGTCCAAGAAACCAAGTTAAACAGCCTCTCAGATCTTCTGAGTTGTGCAGGCTTCAACGTTTTGCGTAAGGATCATGAGCGAGATAATGGTGGAGGCATAGCCTTCATACTACACAACACCGTGCAATATCGTCTAATCGATAGTGACAATGACCGCAGGGACACTACCCTTGAATGGCAGGGTATAGCTGTCCGTTCAGGCGATGTCGAGGTCGAGATATTTAAATATATACTTGTATCCCCGCAGTTACATGTTGCCCAGCAGAATATCACCCGATTATAGGAGCGCTACTTCGTGGAGAAAACCGTTTGGAAACCTGCTTGTTAAACGATCGTATGGGGATAGGGCAGGCGGAACAGATTGACGATTCAACATTCTGTATAATGAATGACGATGCCCCCACCAGAATTATGAGCACCTGTAATAGCTCGCCTGATGTTTCCATCGCTAGCGGTGGTCTGATAAATAGCATAACCTGGCGACCTATGCTAACTCTCGCATCAGACCATCTGTCCATAATTATTCGATCGAGAAACCTCCCGACTTTATTTCTGTGGACAATCGCACTTATGTTAACTTAAACAAAGCTAACTGGGTCGGTTTACAGAATTTACCGAGAGCATCTTCACAGCACTACTCATTCTTACGGACGTCATAGTTGGCGAGCGTCAATTCCGCAAGTTGATCGCTGCTGCTACTGCTCGCTTCACACTGGCGGGAAGAATCGCGGAACTCCGCCCTAATTTCGTAGCCGAAGCAGTTGTATTAGCCAATGGACGCGAAACCTTACGCCATGCCGATCGGAAATTCGGCAAATGGTAAACCATCATATGCGGACAAAATGGATAGCGCACCTGAAGTCCTGCAACCTCTCCACCGGTGTGAGTAAGCTTTGGACTACTGTCAAGGCCCTGTCAAATCCGAGGAGACATGATGATCGGGTTGAAATTCAATTCGATGGCCATGCCTTCTCGGACCTGAAGAAGTGCGTGAGCTATTTTAGCCGGCAGTTTACACCACACCCTTCGACCGACAGAAACGTTGTTGGCAACATGCAAGGCAATCGGCCGGCTTGCTTCACCATTATGGTCGCCTGGATGTAGTGCAACGCAGACGAAGAAGCTTCAGACTTGCCAAAACACTGCACTCCGGACTATCACGGGATGCCTCTTGATGTCCCCAATAGAACACCTGCACAGTGAGGCCCTTATGATTGCGGTTTAGGAACACAACGAGCTCCTCTCCAAGCAGTTTCTGCAGGAGTGTGTTCTTTATGGTCCGACCCAGTCGAAACAGCTCGTTTCTTGGGCCTCCCGTTAGATGACCTCGACGACAACCAAACTACAACTTATCATCCAATGATTTGTGTTGATTTGAGATGCATGTTAAATTTGGCATCATTTTAGGCGCCTTATCTTAAAATAGTGTCTAAATAGATTTTAACAATATAAAAAAATGTTATCATCACTTTTCAATTTGGTAACTTGTTACACTTAAAACAGAGGGATCTATTATTAGTTAAATGCATCTACCTACCTTCTAAACCACATGGCCGAAAACCATATTGGCCTAATATATTTTGAACGTTTTCCAAATTAATTTTTTTATTTTCAATTCGCTGATCTGCAAAGTCGAAATGTGACGGGCCATGGGTTTCTACTTGTGATTTAGACAATGCGAGTGCGAGATGTATTTCATCAACACTGAAGTTATCAAGCCTGCATTGTTGAGACGTAATCTCCGAGAACAGAGCTTCGTTTTGCATGAGCAAAGTTTTAATGTTCTGCTGGCCTCTAGAAAGAATTCGTTTGTTTCGGGAAGAATATATTTTACGCTTCAAATTGGTTCGTGTCTTAGTTTTCTTTTCAGGAACCTCAAAGTTGTCTTCGCTATCATCTTTGGAACATTTACGTGTGTTTGTTCCCTCCGTCAAAACAAAATTTCTTAAACTAGTCCGCTTTCTGTATCGTTTCTGTGTTTCGTTTTGAGTTATTGATTGTAAATCATCATACTCAGTATTAATCAAGCCTTTTGTTGGAGAGGCACTCTCCATATGCACAAACTCATTTACTTTTGGTTCATTTCCTTGATTAGCTTCATTTTCTTTTGGTGTCTTAAAATACTTTGATAACAAGGAGTTGCCCGATCTAGTTTTCCTTTAAACAAAGATAATTCCAAAATAAGTATTCTTTCGATTCGTTAAATTTATTTTTTATTATGTTTACATTTTAAACTTTATAATCATGTTTTACCGTAAACTACCGCTTGTATTCGCTCCATCGTGTTTAATTCCGGACAACCGAAGTTTCTTTAAATTAGCTTTCCGAGTTTCCCGATCCATTAGCAGATTTTATTTTTAAGAAATAAACTCTTTTTCTTCATCAATGCGTTTTTGTATTTCTCTGCTGGGTAAAGGCTTAGGAAAACTGAACAAATAACGCCGATCTATCTCCTCTTCGGTTGGTGTAAATAACGAGTCGCAAAGGCCTTTATTAATATTTTTAAATATTGGAGTGTACCTAGAATATATACGTTTAAAAACCAGAGCTACTATAAATTTTAGAAATAAAAGCTTACGCCCAAGCTGCTAAAAATACCGCTCCTAAACTAATCCAACCAAATGCAAATTTATTTCGGAACTGATATGCAGGTGTGCCACGAGTGCGTCGAGGCTTTCTAGTATTATTTTCAAAACTGTCCATAACCACACCTTCATCAGCAATATTATTTTAAACCAATAATATATTACACAACAATAAAGTACACCATTACCAAACAATAAATATACACATTTTGCCTCATTGCCGCCTTCTGCAACGATAATAATTTTATTGTTTTTCATCGAGTTTGAATATCTAATAATCAGAGTATGACTGTGTGCAAACGTTGTAACTTATTTTTCTCATAACACCATAACAGTTCTGCATACTTCTTGTGGATTTCGTTCACACCGGGCATTTAATTTACGGTAAATTTAGCATCCTAATAACATAATTTTCTCAAATTCTTGTGTACTTTACTTACGAGGTACACAAATGCATTTTTAGTTAGCTAACTTGTTTAATAAATTTATCAAATTGGGTTTGTTTTTTCGCGAGAAACAATAAATTTTGCACTCTTAAGCTGTGTGCCAAACCGTAAAAATATTAAAATTCCATGAGATAAAAGTTATAATTTGAATTCGTGGAGAATCCATTGAATACAGAAGTGATACTTTTTAATAAGGAAAGTTCATGTCTCCTCTTGCATTTTTATTATTTACATAAGAAGCCAGTAAAAATAATATATATGGTATTGATCAACATATCTAAATGTACATACAAGTATATGTTAATACCAAAGTCACAGAAACATTTCAATTGACTAACGGTCCGCTTTACTTAGAAAAATTATATGTATATCAGGTTGTAATGAAAATATTGAAATAAATACTTATGAATGCCTTTCACTACTTTTAACATTTTACAGTACGATCTTATAAAGTATGCAAAGGAAAAGCTTGTATTAAACTTGAAATCATATATGATCTATAATATGTATACATATATGTATACCCTGAAATTAACCAATACGGATAGCCCTGATAACCGAACAAATTTCATGAACACATGGTTTTAGTAAAGGAAAATTAAAGTGTTTACTGGTCTATGAAACCTTTTATATTTCATTTGATGTATGCGATTGAAGTAATCGCTAGATCTCTCATTTTTTCCACATTAAGCACATGGCGGACATCTATGACTTTTTAGGTAATATTTACATCATGATAAAGGAATAGGCTTAGGTTGTTCAACATTGCAAGTGTTTGGAAATGTTAAAATAATTTATTATAATAATTTTGAAAATCCCTTGTAAATAAAATACATATTAGGGCCTAATATAGGATATCCAGCTTCTAAAACTAATGTTAATTATGTATCCTTCTGTGTGGAAGGGAAACCGAAAATACCCTAGAAACAAAATCAAAATGAGTTAAGCGAGAGAATGCCACAAGTCAATATTTATTGCATCAGTATTTATTCGTGAAAAATCGTGTTTTTAAAGTAAAAATATTTAAAAAATAGTTTTCCTGTATTATTTGTTTATTTTTCTTTAATTTTTCTACAAAATGCCGCAAGAAAACCGACGAAAAGCGGGTTTGGTTTTGAAAGAAATTCAAAGTAAATATTGGCGGAAAAAAAGCTAGGAACCATGGTTGAGAATTCATCATACTATTGAAAATGCTAATATTAGTATACAAATATATGTTTTTTTTTGTTCCGTCGTACCGCGAATTTGTATACAAAATGTGCTAAAGCTTTCATATATATGCGCGATTCCCACTCTGCGATCAGGATTTCCAAATACAATGTTAAAATGTTTTGTAATATAGATTCCGACCCATCAATATTGCATACTAAACATTCGCGGTCAATTGATATTGTACGTGTAGCAGTCGCCATACACATCGAATAAAATAGTTAATCCGTTTGTTTACCCATCCTCATTAAAGTAATTACTGTGAATTTCATATGTACCGATCTTAAAATGTTTGTAAATGTGAATATTGCGTATGTTTTTAAATTAACCATGTAGATTCATTGAATCCTCAACTGCTCACCAAAAAAAGTCGGTAAATTTTACAATAGCATTCCCCGAACTCTGGCTTAAACTGGGTGTGTACGAATAAAGAAGGTTCTCCAGATTATGGAAATATAGACATACAATATAGTTGCCTCTGACTTCTACGCGGAAGAAATGACGACACTCCGGTATTGAACCGACCAAGGTTATTTTTTAATGCAAAAAAGAATTCTAAACTAGTGTTTTTAATTTTCTGTCATTGAGGTGTTATTAGTTTTCTATATATCTTGCTTTACAAACATTTAAAGCGGTAAATGTATAGTTTAGGTCCCCCAACGAAAGAGGGCTCGAAAATTAATATATTTTTTTTAAATTGTGTTATTTTGACGCGAAGATTACGTTTAAAGTTGAATATTTCAACTTATTAAAGTACGTATTTTTTCGATTTAAATCGAATTGTACACTTATATTGTTCACTTTTATATCCACTAACACTTCACTAATTCGTTTGTACTCATTTATTTTACATTATATAGTGCAAAATTAGATTTAGTTCAATATTTAAATCATTGTTCAATTCTATTAATTCTGACAATTACCAAAGGGTTGCAAAATGTCTAAAAACGAGTGTTTTGTAATTGAACTGATAGAAATTAAAACAGATAATACGCCAAATACAGGAATCAAAAACCTAGAAAAATCAAATATTAAGGAGCATTGATGTTAAGGATTATGTTATACCCTCCATGACAACGTTACTTTTTCTTGTAGAACTTCTGTTTGCGCTGGCGGCCTTCGGCCGTGCTTCAAAAATAATAACCCTGGTCAGTCCAACACCGGGTGTACCAAGGTTTTTTGCGCAGAACTTTTATTTGCGTTGGCGGTCTTCGGCCGCGTTCTATAAAAAGAACCCTGGTCGGTTCAAAACCGAGGTGTAACAAGGTTGTCTTGCGCAGAACTTCTATTTGCATTGTCGGTTGTTGTTGTTGTTGTAGCGGCAGAATTTTGTAGATTTGACAGTCTTTGGCCAGAAAAAATCCGGGTCCGTTTCGGTTACGTAGACCCGACCTATGGGAACGGTTGCGTTGTAGGTCTTCGGCCGCGCCTTAAAAAAAAAATCCTGGTCAGTCCAATACCGGGGTTTATCAAGTGAAGCAAACTAAAAGATTTATTACCGTCTATAATGATTCCCCCTGCGGGTAGGTGTAAGAATTTACCCGCGACTAAAAGCCAAATGCACTATGACTGTTAATTTATTTTGCCCAGAATTATCAGCATAGTAAATGATGTCAGAAATAGTGCTATAATACTCAGCTTGACTGATATTATAGATTTTAAATGAGATTCCAAATAAAAAGACATTTGAAGTTCAAGTGACAAATGTCACCAGTCTCACCATTGAGTAATCGGTAGCTCAACTGGCTGTAGTTTCGGCTACACAGTCTGACCGAAGTCTCAACTCTGGTACCACGGGGAGCAGATTGCCCTTGGACTTCGGTTTAATCTGAGTTGACAGTCCTTGGCCGGAATAAATCCGGGTCCGTTCCGGTTACGTAGACCCGACTGTCGTGGGAACGGATAAAAATATTTCAATCTGCGCATTGGGTTCGGCCCTTTTGGGAGTATCGTGGTGGCTGTGGTTTAAACCTAAATGCTGAAAGGACTGAATTTTCAGTTCGAAAAAGAAGTTGCACAAGCAACTGGGTTTCGTACCCGAAAACGGAAGAGGTTTTAGGTCGGCCTCGAATCTTACCAAGATGGTCGGTGTGCCCCTACACACTGGCCACTGGTAACCAAATTAATACTTGCAAATAGCTCGTATTATTTGGGGCGCTGATCAACGCATAGTTTTGATACGTTGTGCTTTGGAGCACCGTGAGGTAAGGCCGTCGGCGGCAGGTACTCACGTAAAACACCGGACGTTGTCCATAACGATTATGATTTTATAATCGCTCTTTTTATTTGATTTTTCTTCGTTTGGAAAATATATTTGTATGGCAACACTGTTTTTTTGGCATTTACAACCCTTTTGTTATTGTCAAAATTAATAGAATTGTTTTGCATCATATAATATAAAATAAATGTCTAAAAACGAATTAGTGAACCGTTAGTGGATATAAAAGTGAAAAATATAAGTGGGCAAATCATTTTAAATCGAAAAAATTCGTATTTTAAATAGTTGAAATTTTCGACTTTATACTTAAATACCTCGAAAACTATAAGTTAGCGGCTACCGCCCATATCCATTTAGCTCCGAAATCCTGGGACCCTATTCTAAAGCGGACCGCAAATCCGTGAACGGAAAGTTGATTTTCCAAAATTTTTGTTTTTTATTAATTAAAATTGAATTTTTACAAAACACTGCACCTTTCTGCACCTGCGGCCTTCTGCCGCGCTTTTAAATAATAACCCTGGTCGGTCCTAAATCGAGGTCTTTGTAATTCATTCGTTTCGAACTCTTTTTCGCACTGGCGGTCTACGGCGGCACTTCAAAAAAATATCCCTGGCAAGACAAATAATAAGTGCTGCATATCTATAATAAATTTATATATATATATATATATATATTTTTTTTTTTTTTTTTTTTTAAACGCCAATCGGCAATATACATAGATATAATGAAGAATTCAAGTATTATACAAAAGTAGCTAGGATATGTTAGTGTAATATCTGGAAAATATTTAAATAATTGTAAGTTAATATGTAATTCAGACTTGATTTAGATGTAATTCAGACGAGCAGGTGTCTCTTGGTGTTTTCGGTAAAAGCAGCGTATGTTCCTCCATAGAAATCAATTTCACCTTGAAGTGAATTTACTAATTTAGCCAGTCTATTCTGAGGACCATGGATAACATAATTTTTCTTGGATTTCGATGTTTTTAGTAATCTATTTCGTTAGGATCTCATGAGTATCATGTTATTGACTAATTTGTACAAAAAGCAGAGGTCAGCGACAGAATTTACGCTGCACCTTTTCAACTTTATCGATTGTCGTGTTAGTGTAGGGAGTGAAGCCAGGATTCCGAAATACATACAACGTCGTACTGGTTAGCCGCTAATACTGTTTGAAATGTTGAGAGTTTTGTACGCAGACCTCTGACGTTCTGGTAGCACAGGTAAGATACTTTCTTCTTGCTCGTTGAGCGAACGAAAATTTCTTTTAACGATTCTTGGGACACCATGGATGTATTTAATTGTGTTACTGTCATCACCACTCTTCACGATTGAATCAAGCTCTTGACGCAAATTTTTCAGAGGAAGTTGTTGAGAGGGAGTTGGATCAGTCTTGAAAATAAAACCTGAGTTTTCGTCTGTTGGTCTGTATTTGATAATGGAAAGTGCATCAGCTGCTGAGCGGGTGGTAATGTGAAGAGGACGTGTACGTCCAGGTGTAGGACGACCCAGTCTACGTAACTTGAGTTCAGTGGCCTCATCCTTGAGACTGGGGGGGCAAAGCTGTGACTAACTTTGTTCTGTCATCCTCTAAACGGTCCTTTCCAGCAGCTTTATCAGACTTAGGAATATTTAGGGCAATCACGTTGGTTTCACGGCGTTTTCGTTCCGACAGTTCAGTGAAAAACTCTTCCTGGCTGGTAGGCAGCCTCATATCTATGTTTAGCTTATCTTCAACTGATGTAAGTTTGTCATCCAGGGCAGAACATTGATTTGATAGCGAGACGTTTGTTCTGACAGTTTGCCTACCTCTTTTCTTAAGTCCTTGATTTCACTTAGAACTGATTTTTTTAAGGTCCCTGAACTCACGTTCATAATTTGTTGTAAAACGTTCAAAGTGTCTCTTGAGTAAGGTTTCAATATCCTTTAACGGTGGCGGATCATCTGATGCATCCTCATCGGAATCCAATAAATCACATGTCTTAATACTAATGTCACTTGCACATGAGTCACAGTTCCAAACTGTTCCTTTTTTCTTAATGCTGTTGGCGATGGATTTAAACTCATCGGATGAAAGGTTGGTGCACTTTGAGTGAAACCAACGTCGACAAGCCGCACATTGAATACATGGCTGCGTTTTATCCCGGATTATGACTGAGCAATAACCACAAATCTGTTGTGTTGTATTTACTTTTTTGGGTGGCATTTTGTAAGTACATGATACAGGAAAAAAATATATAATGTTTGTTATGCTTTTTATTATTACACCTCACAATATTACGTCGCACACCCCTTTCTTTGTTGTACGAAATTCAATTATGGTTCAATATCAAAATTAAATCGAACTTTTCTTTGTACATCCTTTATATTTTCTTAGAAAATTTCCTTTTTTTCAAATTATTCAATAAACAAAAGCTACAAGTTCATCTTCATTTTAAAAACAATTAATTTAAACGGGAAAAAGTCTCCGCTCATCAAACAGAACCAATAATATCAAGTAATTATAAAAAGTTTAATAGCTGGTGGGGTAGCCTCGAAATTTTAGAGCTTCTGCTAGACGTTTAGGCATGGAATGTACTAATTTTCTCGTATCTTGGGCTGACATTTTACTCGATTCGTCCAATATAACGGTCTTGAGCATTTCTTTGCTGGTAATCGTATGTGTGCGAATTCTGCGCTCCAATAGAGCCCATAAATGCTCAATTGGATTGAGGTCAGGTGATTGTGGAGGTGAATGTAGCTGTTTTTTAGCATTGTAAAGCAGTCAAAGGCGAGCAAGTTCCGCTATATACTTAGGGTCATTGTCCTGTTGGAAACAAAACACGTTTTACACCCACTCAATTGAACTCCAGCCCCACCAAGCTTTACGGTTGAAGTAAGATTTCGCGCTTCAAAGGCCACAGATTTCGCCACACCATCTGTCTTCCTTTTTTTTCAAATATTATCCGATCATAAAACTAATTCCCAGAAAGATGTAGGCTTGGTTATAAGTTCGTTTGCGAATGCAATGCGCTTCATACGGTTTTTTAATGAAATGAATGGCCTTTTGCATGCCACTCGCCCATGATATTCAACCCTTTTTAATATTTTTCTTGCTGTGTCGCTGCATATTGCTTTTTAAATCGTAATTTTAAATCTTCTACTATTTGGGAAGCGGTTAAACGCGGATTAGCCTTTAGAAGAGATACAACTGCGTGTTTCCCGATCAGTCGGACGTCCAGATCGAGGCTTTGAAGTAATAATTCCCGTTTTTTTATAGGCGGTGTTCCTGAACTCACGTTCATAATTTGTTGTAAAACGTTCAAAGTGTCT